GCTCTCCTTGGCCATTTCATTTGTCGCCGAGAATCAAATAGATTACACGACATTTGAAAAATGGCAAAAAAGAGGGAAAATTCAAAAGGTGAGATGGGAAGTTAGTGTCCGAGTGGATCGAGGTCACGATAGTTCAAGTGGTAGAGCAGCGGCGTATCTAGCCGAAGATCGTGAGTTCGAATCCCGTTCGTGACACTGACTTTTTTATCTCAACTAAAAACCTTAATTAGTTGAAAGAATTAATTACAACTTCAAATCCGGCGGACGTCCTTGACTGAAAGCTAAAATCATTGAAACATTGTGTCCCGGAAAGCATAAAAAAGAGAGAGAATTATTCTCATAAGATTAAGGATGAGCCAAAGGGGCGTCGATGGCCGCAACGGTTTAGGCGTTGACACGGCGCTCATCACTGTAAGGTAAATTCATGTATCTATCGGTATGAGTAGGTTTCCTATACCAATCAGTAATGAGCCTGTCATTGTCCCTCTCAATGATCAGATCTAATAAGGCAATTTTCCATCACTCTCCACTTCAAATGTAAATCTAAGTGCAGGGTGATATGAGTTAAAAGATTCAAAAGGTTTTTGGAAATGTTCCTTTGGTACAACTGCCAGAAGGTCATCCACGTATTTAATTAAGAATTTTATACCGTAAGGGAGTTGGAGCAACAACCACTCTAGCAAATCAGTCATTACCAGATCAGCAAGAATTGGGGATAAAACACCCCCCATGGCAACACCATCATTCTGCTTATAGATATCATCTCCATATTTAAAGTAGCCAGTCATGGACGTGAACCATTTAAGCTAATATAAACGAAAAGACCAACTTAAGCTAATATAAATATAAAATTAAAATTAATTTGTTTAAAAATCATAATAAAAAAGATGTTTTATGCAAGGTCAGGTCCATTGTTGAATTTTGAAAGGATTTGACGGTTCATTATCTCCTGAGAAACAAATGTTAAACATTAATTCCAAACAATCATTAATCAACGGTCACTAAATACTACAAATTATATCCAAAATTGCGTCGACTATGTCCACATTACCCGTTGATATCACGTCTGTTAGAACCATTGGTAAGTATTGCCAAAGTATTTCCTGAAAGACAAGGGTTCGAATCCAGCGGCCCTGCATTCGATCCCGACATGCTTACAAATGGGCTTTTTTTCCAAAACACCGGCACCCCGAGGGTTGATATGGTTAGGGGGTTAAAAAAAAAATGAATGAGATGATGTATCGACCTGCTTGTTGAACAACTTGAACAAAATGATCTTCACTGATGTCACACCGATCCTTGTAACGTAAAGTCACCTTAGCCTCATGTCTACTCCCTTGTGGTAGAAGTTAGCACATCTATTTTTGAGTTATCTATATATAGTAAAATTTAAAAAAGCTTAACTAATCTAACTGTGATATTCTAATGTACCTGAGGAGAAAAAGTAATTTTATTATTTATTTTAAGAAAAAGAGACGTGTACTTATAGTTATACAGGGTGAATTGCTACTCGTGCTACAAACTTCTCCAGTAGATTCTTCACCCTAAAATGAACAAAAAAGTTCATATTGTCCATGGTCCGATTCTCAACCATTTCAGAGTAATTTNATGTGCATAAATAGATATGTTGTTATTTTAGTTTATTTATATAGTTTTTTCTCTCTCTTTTGTTTATTCCTTAAGAAGAAATATGTTCCTTGTTTATTAAAAATTTATAGTCCGACTCCGGCAGACGGTTGATAACCATTGCCGAAATGTGCTTTTTGATTATGTACAATTTTTTTACTCTCTTTTGTTTATCTAATAAAGTACTTTTCATTCATTCATTCATTCTCTCTCTCTCTCTCTCTCTCTCTCTCTCTCTCTCTCTCTCTCTCTCTCTCCGTTCGCGCCCACACGTGTTGCTATAGTATTGATGGATTTAAGGCGTTTCACTACGTATGAGAGAAGACATCTATTTAAGAAGATGCTACATGTCCGATGTATGCCACATTTCAGTAAGAAATATGTAAATCGCCCATCAAGGGGCTAAACTATTACTAGATATTTATAAGCAAAAACACAGCAAAAGGGAAAATGCAGATCAGAGCCGGCTATGACCATTTTGCCGGCAAAAATTGGTCGTTACCAAACTAAATATCGAGGTTTTTCATACTTCCGTTCTCTCATTTTTAATGTATATTAATATTTTTTTACAGAGCGCTGAGGGTATACATTTTTATCTGTTTGCGGACTACGCCCCTTAATCGTCACGGGAAACACTTCCGATGAGTTATGGCTGAAAATTAAGCACACAATGGATAAAGTCGTGACTTGGGTTTCGGGGAATGCACTTACTCTTAATATGAAAAAAATAAATTGTCGTCGGCCGGCATCTTAATAGAATGTGATCGTGTCCATTGCACCCCGGCTCACAATGTGTCGGACAATTTTGTAAAGTGGAGAGGAACGGTCAGGATCGAAGTATTTTATAAAAACACCTCATTTTTTTTGCCGACGTTTCGACCTTTATTCGGGTCATCTTCAGGGCCTGGTTGAATTACAAAACTTATATTGATTGGAAAAAAATACATTGTAGATGTAACAGTCGGTATAATACCTATTATCGTTTTTTTATATAACTAATTTGAATGAGCCACCTTTCCCTATTAATATTAACACTAACAAATTAAGACTCATTGTACAGCTTCGTTTAGACAACAACAAAAATTGCAGTAGTTGTTATAACAGAAAGAAATTTTACTCCAATTTGGATAAAATGTGTACTTTATGTACCTCTCTACCTGTAACAAAATATATTTTGCAGACTTAAAAAACGTTATAGTATTACAAGAATTAGTTGAAATCTTGAGGAACGGTCAGGAATGAAGCGTTTTAGAAAAAACACCTTTTTCATTTTTTTGCAGTTGTTTCGACCTTTATTCGGGTCATCTTCAGTGCCTGGTTGCATTACGAAACATACATCGATTGGAAAAAATACAATGTAGATGTAAATAATATAAATTTTCAACCAAGTATTTCATACTCGCATAAATTGTGGTGTTATTCTTGTGATGTCATATTTCTTTTGTGTGAAATTGTTGTGAAACGAGAATTTGCTATATGTATTGGGTGTTGGGCTTGACAGAAAGTTAACGCGAGGCATAATTTCCAATTTCCATCTCAACTCGGCCGATTCTGTTTTGTTATAAAAATGCTTAAACAATCGACTGGTATGACAAGTAATCAGAGTGTTTATACCAGCTATTTCCAGCCAATCCTCGAGTAACGATTGATTTTTAAGACCGTAAGTCACTCATAAATAAAGTTTTTCTAATTCAAAATATAATCATTACTGTTTTTTTCCTGGGCTGGACATCGAGACTCGTATTGTGAGCTGTTTTAAAAAAAATTAAGAATCCTGACTCTGATGCTTATGTATTCCCAGCGTAGCAATTTTTGATGTTAAGCATAATCACAGATAGAACCTCACATGTCAATGGCTATGAAACTAGAAGGGCAATCGATTTAAACTAGAGAATAAAAAGCACGCGAATTATTAGTAAAAATGTGTTTTATAAATGTGCGACAATTTATAACGCCGTACGATGTTAAATATGTAGAATATGTCCATTTCACTTTTTATTTATTTATTCTTGATTTAGCAAGTTTGAATAAATCTGAAATATACTTTAGAGTATATATCAATGCATAGGTCATAAAGTATAGGTAAAGTATATATCAAGGTATAGGTGTAGGTCGATATATTCAGGGTCGTCGCTGGCCGCAACGGTTTAGGCGTTGACACGGCGCTCATCACTGTAAGGTAAAGGTCCCGGGTTCGAATCCAGCGGCCCTACTTTCGAACCCGACATCCTTACAAATGGGATTTTTTTTTTCTCAAAAACACCGGCACCCCGAGGGTTGATATAACCTCTGCTGTTGAGAACCCTCCTTAGAAAAAAAAATAAACGGCACGAAATTTTTGGTTACTTGGTAGTTTGCCGGCGCTAAAACTATCCATAATATTATTACTTAATTAAAAAACTTCTTTTCATTGGGTTTAATTATAAACGTAATTACAAGAGCTTTAAATTCAAATTGAACATATTTACTTTCTACCCCTAAACTGTTTCTTTTTTTGCGTTTTGATTGAATATAAAAATTTAAAAAATTATAATTTCTCCGCTTTTTCCTCCAGTCCATCACACTTGGTGAACTCTAGAAATGAGCGATATTCAAATTAAAAATAGAAAAAGCAACAATCACTCTCTTTAATCGTATATTTTTAACTTTCTCGAGAAATTATTGAGTTCCGATCAATTTTGACGGCTTATTCTTGCTGTTTCAGGTTTGCAGATGCATATGGTTTTTTTATATCTTAATTGCATTAGTTAGAGCGAGAATTGATTTTTTTAAAAAGGTTTCAAATAGGCTATCTTAACAAGCCAAATAGTCTTGAATACAGCGAGAGGCAAAAAATTTGCCATCTTTAATATTTTTAATTAACAAATTCACTAGTTTCGTGGTCCGCTTGACCAATATCTTTCATTAATTAAGGTGTTTAGTTGAGATTAAAAAAATCAGTGTCACGAACGGAATTCGAACCCACGATCTGGAAACGATTGAATGTAATATATATTGCATAATTAAGTGGAAGTTTAACATGAAGTTGAATCTAAACTTACTTTCTTTTATTTTCACTATGTTCAAATTTTGTTAGGTTTTTAAAGGATTTTGTTCATTTATTACAAAATTGATTATGAATTTAACTTCTTTTTTCTTAAATGTCACAATCTAGACACAATTTGAACAGTTTCAATCGCAAATCAAAATTTCATGGATTGTATTTTGTTACGTGTTTTGTTGAAGAGAATATCGCTTAATTTTAAACTAGGCGACAATTTGATCGACTTAAACTTACCCAAGCCGGCAATACTTTAGATACTTGTCACTCATCGAATGTTGGCATCCATCCATGAAGCCTCCGATGCAGATTCTATTTCAGTTCACTAGTCTATGAACGGTAGAAGTAAACGGATCGGAGTGGATGTTTGAACCGCCCATGAGGCTAGAATGTTGTTTGTAATTGGACTTCTACTCATACCCCATTTGGCTCATACTGACATTTTAACGATCGGTGAATTGATTTTTCGGTTTTGCCTCCTCATATGTGGCCCAGGTTAATTATCTTTTTTTTTTTGTATTTTGTGCATTAGACGCTTTTTTCCCCGATGGATCTAACTGGGAGGACAAAAGGATATTCGATCTCGCCGTCGACGAAGTCAAAAAGGATTTTGAGAACCTTTTTAATGTGGAATTTTTGCCGAGAAAGCATAGCGTCATTCAGTTTGACAGCTTCAACATGACTAGAACAGGTATGGCATGTGTATCTGAATTATTCAACACCTAATTATATAAAAAATTCATAGATGGATTATTTGGTAAAATATCTGAATTATTCAGCAATGTAGTAATAGGCCGACGACGGAAAAACGTTCATGCAATGTCTATTGAAATAAAACACAATTATTACATATGTAAAATATATATAACAAGGTGTATATAAACCTTTGATTATATTTTCAGAGATATAAAAGTTTCAGAATGTTGCAAAACTGCCAATTTAAAAAAATGTATATATAACATTAATTTTAAATTGGTCAGAATTATTTATTATCGTTTTGATTTTGAGTCAGAGTCATGAAAAATATTACAATTAAAGCGTCATGTTTTTTAAGTATATTTTACGAATGGTTAGGGTTGTATAAAGCATATTTTGCCAGGTAATTTCTTGGTAATATTCGTCGTTCGTGTTAAAATGAACATTATCATGACAATTATAAAAATTTATTTTAATTGACAGTCAATGTGGCGTTTAATTCGAAAAGGAATAATTAAATAACGTAAAAAAAGTAAAAAATATCAATTTGAGGAAATTACGAGGACGTTTGCTGAAGAAAAGGGTTTTAAGTCGACTTACAAATTTACTTTATTGAAAACATCCATTCAACATAATAAATATTCAATAACAAACAAATTACAATTTCTTTTCCATGAAATTTAAATATTAATTCAGCGTGGACTACTATGAGACGTATAAAAATTTGAGTAATACATTAAGAGGCAAAAAGATAGCCACCCAAGTAAATACTTTCAATCGCTATAATTTTTATTTTTTGTTGTTTATTATATAGAAAAAAATATGTAGAATAAAATAAAATTTAGCTAAATTTCAAAAAAAATTAAATTGAAATTAAACTGAGTAAAACAATTTTGCCAGAAATTTTCTTATGGAAATAGTGAAGAAAATATTCAATTCAGTATGGTATATTTCCTCCTCTTGCGTTGGTCACTGGTTGCATTCAAGGTGGCATCGATTTGACAAGGTTTTGCGAGTAGTGCTGTGGAATATTTTCATGATCCTCCAACAGCCCCATTATTAATTCCTACAAATTCTCTGCAGTGGGTGACTTATACCACGATCTTAGATGTGTGGAGTTTTGCGCTGCCTGAGGCCGCCATGGAGTTTTTGCATAGGACTATTTACCCAAATATGGTTGTTACTTAAATATACAAACCCAACACGCAGCACACGAATTACCGCTACATGTGTGAGTAGTCAGTTACATGAAATGTGAAGTCAACCCTCGAGCGCGCGACGCGAATGACACCATAAAATGACACCGCACTTGCATAAATGGCATTAAGGTAAGACTACATAGACCGTTTCGTTGCGATCCAACTTTATTTTTTGGTACCCACATGTTTCGGTGTAAGTTTAAAAACGCTTCAACAGTATTTCCTTGAATCATCTGCCAAAGCAATTAGCGATGTAACGTAATGAATTCCCCTTTGCCAACGAAAGTGATGAATCTGATTCATCGCGGCTTAACCGACTCATTATGACAAACAAAATGTTCAGGTTAAAGCCATTAGAGAGAAAAACCCAGGGTTGATAAAGGCAAAAACCGACTGAAATGATCATTAAAAAGGACTGAAATCTGTTTGTGGGTGTGCTACCCAATATACTTCAGGAGATTATCCTATAATTGGACTGAAAGTCTCTGAGGTCCAAAGTCTGATTCTCATTTTTCAAGATTTTAAAACGGCTATTAAATCATAAGGAATGTAATATTGTATTAGGTAAGCAGCACATAAATGATTTGGAATCCTTCACTGTTATAAGGGAAGAAAAACATAATTAACTCTTGAGAAAATTGAATGCCCCAAGAAAAGCTTTTCACCGAAATCACTCGCCTCCGACTGAATCATAACGGCTTACTATAACACCTACATAAAATGGGTGTTCTTCCGACACCAGTATGCGAGTGTGATGGAGAATCCCTTGTTCACCCTGACCACGTTCTGCTCTCCTGTCCCCCCTCGTCACGAGGCAGTGAGGACGTCTTTTAGATTCTAATTAAAATTAATCTATCTCTACCAACAGGAATTAATATAATTCTTAGCAAAACAGACGAAAAAGATATAATCCATTCTCTGTACAAATTAATTATAAAAAACAAGCGACAAGGTCTATGGTCAAATACACCACGCGATATGACTCAAATTTGCACTTTACTGGCCAAGGAGGTCCAATCCATAATTCATATTCCCTTTTGTTTGGACCGTCTTGAATCCACTTGACCAAAGAGAAAAAGTTCAACGCAAAAAAAATAGAATTTCAATCCCACCTTTTGAATTTTCCTTCCTTTTTGCCATTTTTCAAATGTCGAGAAATCAGGAATCGATTCTCGGCGACAAATGAAATGGCCACGGAGAGCTTTAGTGAAGGTATACTTCATTTTAACTTCTTAAATTCACTAGTTTTCGTGGTCAGCTTGACCAATTAATATATTTCAATTAACTAAGGTTTTTAATTGAGATAAAAAAGTCAGTGTCACGAGCAGGATTCGATCCACTCGGACACTAACTTCCCATCTCAACTCCACCTTTTGAATTTTCCCTCCTTTTTGCCATTTTTTAAATGTCGTGTAATCTGTTTGATTCAATTTCTATTTGACAAATGAATTTATCTCAACGAAAACTTTAATTAAAGATTAATTAATTGAAAAGAATTTATTTGGACAATCGGATCACGAAACCTAATGTAAAAATGTAAAAAAAAAAATACTCCTATTCATCAATGTTATAAATGGCGACACAGTGTCACAGTCGTTGGTAATGTTAGGACTGTGTTAGCCTTCAGGAAAATTCGAAATCGAAGTCTCGATAGCTCAAGTGGTAGAGTAGCGGGCGTATCAAGCCGAAGGTCGTGGGTTCGAATCCCGCTCGTGACACTGACTTTTTTATCTCAACTAAAAACCTTAATTAATTGAAACTTATTTGTTTACTTTCATTAGTTTTTAATGGAAGTTTCAAAATTTTACTGACTAATGTTTTAACCGTTTGTAACCAACAAATCGCATTTTGATCCTCTTGAGTAGATGGGTAGTTCTAATCTCTAACCCAGCCATATTTGTCAATACCTTTAGAAGCAAAAAAACCTTATTTAAACTTTAGAATAGAACTGGAAACTCCTAAGTTTATTTTGAATTTGTATTTTGTTTGCTTAAGATTACAATAAAAAAATAATAAACGAATCACAGAGGTTTCTCACTGCACATTTTAAGAGAAACGAAGGACTTTATGGTGAAAAATCGTGAAAGCTGAAGTAATCTGAAATGTGAAATATCTCGAATACAATTGAAAATCAGACTTTTGAACAATAAAAACTTTTTAGTCCAGTTGACATCTAGGATAACTTCGTGATGTTTGACGTATGATGACGAGACGCTCTGTATACATATTTTCTTCATTCTTCATTTTGGCTTGTTCCATTTTACTGGTTTATGTATGCTGATATCTGCGCACGCTTGTACACAACCTATCACTTCTCGCACCCCGCCGGCAATTCCAGATTTTTATAATTTACAATGATCGGCAGTCCTTGAAAATTAAGCAACCCTGGGTGTAAGCACTCCAGGGAAAGACCTCGGTCTTGTTCAGCCGCCGAGGCTGGGCTCCAGGTGCTATCAACAGCTAGAACACTTTAATCCCAAACGCAATCTGTTCCTAAAAAAAAACTCATTCACACTCTCATTCCCTCTTAAATACATTCTTAGTTACTTACTTAGAATGGCAGAATAGCCGATATTCCTCCATCACACTTTACACCTACTTGAGTATTTAATATTCCGCCATCAAGTCTCATACACTACACATCCACACCAGTAAATATATTCAGTCTCAATATACACAAAACGAGTTACCTGTAAAGTAGTATATGCAGTAAAACAGTGCTGTTTCAAAGGAATGGTACCCTTCAATTAAGGGAGACACGTCGAGCAACCTTCATCCACACACCGGACACATACGCTTTGGCCCAAAAGTAAGTGTCTATATGCCAACCTCGCATAGCCTAATCAGATGAGGAATACTCTTCTTCTACGAGTCAGAAACTCTGAGGGTCACGCATCCACTCTTGATGAGTAAGAGCTTCTCTGCCAATCCAGCACATTGGCGCTGCCACCTTCTTAGTCATGTTTCTATTGCATTCTTAGCACAAGAGGCGTCATCGCCGTGGTTAAGTCCGGAAGTAGGGATGTCCCGGCCTTAGCCGCCTTGTCCGCCTTTTTATTTCCCTCCAGACAAATTTGTCCGGGTTTGCTGACAACCTCCAGCTCGTGGAATCTCTCCAATAAGAGAACAGGGAGAAGGTCGTCGGAGAACCTGTCACAAGTTATTCAGTACACCAAAGACCTTTTTTCTTTACTAAAACAACAAAAACGTATTTATTTTGAAATTTACAATAAAAAATTAAAACGTGTGAAGGTGTGAGACTCGCTGGACGAATGAAGCGGGCGAGTTTCTTGACTGAGGAGGCTGAAGAGAGCGAGGTGGACATAAAACACGGGTTTATATAGCATGCTAATGCAGTCAGCTGGAAGTAGTTCCTTCAATTTTTAATTTCGTACAGCAGTTCTGAGAAAGTCTGTGCAAACAAGGTGTTTCATACACTTTGTTTTCATATATCTTATACTTTGTGAAGTACGAAAAATTAAATCATATTTGAATCTAAAAATAATCAAAATTTCTACAATAAAAATAATATAATAATTATAAAATTTATAGATAGCTTATCAAAAGTCATATTATCAAAAATGATAACGGAATGAGGTAACTTTTGCTATTATAAGCAACAAAAATATCATAAATCAAAGGGAATTCCAAAACGTATGTATTGTTTACGTTTAGTAACTAACTTTTAGTCTATTTTGTCTGTAGTTAACTTGATATATTGAAAAAGAAAAACTACCGGCTTTAATGCGGGAAAGGAGTTTATAGAACAATGAAGTTTTTGTTCGTAAATTTTGAT